CTTCCCCTAGTCCGATTTTTCTGATTAATCGGGCTCTTATGGCGCTCGAATCGGCCGATGGGATGATAATGACGATGAGGAATGGGCATCTGGCATATTGTTGTTTGTGGTGCTGCAGATTTTGCGTGCCGACAGGACCTTAATCATCTCGCTAGCCATCCCCTTCCGCCCCTTTGAGTCCGTCCCTGCGTTCTCTGTCAGTCAGCGAATGTGTTTTGAATTATTGCGCTGTAAATTCAAAAAGGATGATGATGCTCCCCCTGCGCAGCTCAACTGAAAAAAGATGGCAAAACAAAGGGATATTGTGACAAGGATTTATTAGTGTGGAGAACGAGGGGTGCTGCTGCTGCAGCAGGACCATTGTCCATTGTCTTTTCGTACCCGGGGTGGGTTTTTAGCAGGCCGAGGACCTTCCACCAGGGGCTGAGGGTCGTGTCAAAGTGCAATTATTGCTCATTGCAACAATCTGCTGCTTCTTAAGGGCCGACCTAAAGTTCCTCATCCGGGAAATCGGATCTTGGCACCCAATTAGTCAGGTATTAGGTTACCACCTACCTACCTTCACCTTTTCCGCCTACTTGAACCCCCTTTGGACGCCTTTGGACACCAGAGAGGCGAAAAAGGAGCAAACTTTCGACCAATTTACTTAATGGCTTTGGTTATAAGCAGGACACGGCTAGTAGTGCTAAGAACGATCTCTTTAGCCGAGAATAATGGCCAAAATCTGCTGCTGCGAAAAGTTTTATTGCAATTGCCAAATTAATTTGCCTGCCAGAACTTTGCACAGGCTGAAAGAAGGAGAGGCAAAAATAGCGGCAGCAGCCCCACAAATGTGCGTTCATTAATTTAATTTTTCATTAAAGAAAAGCAAACGCCGCAGGGGCCGAATGAAAAGTGTCATAAGACCGCCTCTTAAAAAAAACCAAAAAAAAAGGGGAGCAGCAAAAATTTATATTTGACCATAAACAAAAGGCCGCACGAACAGCATTCAAATTATTCGAAGCGGAAAAAGGGAAAAGGTGGGCAAATGACGGAGAGGTATCACCTTTTATTTTAATATTTCAGTCATTAAAAATCGTTTCACAGCAGCAGCAGCCGGCGACTCGAGTGTTTCGGCTTCAAGTAGGATTTCGATATTCCGTTTTTGGGCTGATGGCCACACAAAAGCGGCCCAAAAATGGAGCAAAAACCTATTCAGACCAATGGAAACAAATCGTTGCACCTAAGCAATTTCAACAAAAGCAATAACCTTTAACGCTGAAAAAAAAAGGAAATACAAAAAAGACGGTCGAAGATGGGAATACTGTGGGATACTTTATATTTATAAATCAATCAAATTGATATAATAAAATCAACTTCTAAATAATTTTTAAATGAACAGCATAGTTAGGAAGATTTTGAAATGAAAGGAAAATTTCCGCATATGTTACTGATAGAAAAATATAATTGTAACGTTCTCTAAAGGACTTACCTGAAAGGTATTTTTCCCATCGGGCACTCCAACCAAAAGTAAATAGGAGCAACAAAAAGTAACGTCAAACAATTAGGTCTAAACGTTTTTATAACACCGTACCATAGGCGGGCGCCAAAGGGGGCGTGTCGGAACTCAAAACTGGGGTCCCCAAAAATCTAGAGCGTAGATTGGGTGGGGTCTTCAGATTAATGACAGCGCAATTTTTACGATTGTTGGCCAAGTTTTGTTCGAATAAAGTTCCTCCGCCCGATGAGTTTTCTTCACGTGCTTTTCCGCGCTTTTCCACTGTTCCGCCCCGCGGGCATTCCATTCGTTTCCCTTTCACGAAATTTATGAAATTTTACCTTTCGGCCAAGCAATTTGCTCCATTTACATTCTTTATTAGCCACCGCAGTTTACCAAGAGTTTCCCGAGGGCGAGGGAGAAAAATTGTTTGAAAAGAATTTGCGCAAGGAACAGGGGAAATACGGACGGAAACGGAACAAAGTTTCCCATTCGTGTTTGGCTTTGTTTGGTGCGGGTAAAAACGAATAAAAATAATAAAAACATGTACAAATTTTCACATTTCTAGCTAAGACAGTGGAAATGGAACGGAAATATATGGAAATAAAACAAAAATGTATAGGTTATCTAAAAAAAAAAAGTTGGAGGAAGTGAAATTAATGAAACGAAAACAATGCAATCATAAAATGATTATAGATTAAATGCAGAAGTGCATAAATACGTTGCAAACTTAGAATTTCGGAAGTAGAACAGAAAACAATGGGAATGTTGACAGTATATATGCAAATATAACTTTTAAGTTTAACATGAAGAAAAATAATATGAATTATTTATTGACCAAACCGCGGATTGTAAGCGAAATTAATAATACTTTTTATGAATTCAAATTAAATATTTTAAAGGTTCAAGTAAACAAAGTGAATGGAAACAAGTCCAAACAATGCTTCAACTTTTTTAATGCAATTAAATAATGACTGCAGGTTAAATGCAGCAAAATGTAAATATGTTGCAACAGGGAATGCGATGAAATTTAATAAAAGTACCTAATTAAAGAAAAAATTTGATTAAGCGCAAATATGAGAAAATGCAAGGAAATAATTAATTGAACAAAAAGCGGAATCAAGGGAATAAAGCGAAATGGGTTAAAACCACATTTGTTTCCACCAAAACTCGATAGAGCTTACCTTGTCACTTCGTTGACATTTTTGGTCCAAAGTTGCTAGGCAACGTAATTTCCAACCCATTTTTCCCTATCTTCACTCATATTTCACAGAGACAGGGGAATTTAATAAATTCATCATCTTTCATTTAGTCTGCTACACTGTCCAAAAAAAGAACAAGAAGTGAGGAGTGGAAATCATAAAAAAACCAGACAACGTGGCCATGAGGAGTTACCAAAAAAAAGAAGGAAAAAGAAGACACACAAAAACGAAGGAAAAAGAGCGAAAAAATACAAAATCGTGACTGTCATTTCAACGAAGCGAAGTTATTTTTCATGACAAAGCAGCCGAAGAGGAAAACTCCTCCGACTCATTTTCCGACATTTGGAGGGGGAGGAAAAGGAGGCATTCCAGCGTTAAAATACCTTTTACTGGCACATTACCCCCTTCTATTTTTTGGCCTGCCCCCGAGTGAAAACCAAAATGCAGTCGACTTCGCTGCGTTTTTCATGAAATTATTACGACTTTGGAAATGGGGTCGTACAAAATGTCGTTACGTTGGCGGAACAAAGTTATATAGCCCCTGCTGCTGTCCAGAGAGCTCGTTTTAGTTTATTGTTGAAAATTTCTTTATTGCATCTGCAAAAAATGTTTGAAAATGGTTTGAAAGCGGGAAATTGAGCCACAGAAACAAATTAAGCGAAAGGTATCTCTATTTATGCTACTATCCTTATATGGCTCATTGGGGAAATGATCCTCAAGGGTTCCGAGGAAGATGTGTAAACCTTTAATACTTGGTTGATTTTCGAGCTTTTATAACCCAATCAGAGATTGATTTTATTGGCATCTTTATCATACACAAAAAGAATGTTTGACTTTCGTCTCAAGTATTTCCCACGTTTTCCATTATGCTCGTGAAAATAAGTTGCCTTTCTTGATAGTGGAATAAAAAAAAGGTTAACGTTTTAAAGCTCTTAATTTTTTATGGGTAAATGGGTGAGAATTTTCACGATCTTGATGAATATTTATTGATTCTTTTTGGGTCTTTGGGTGTTTGAATATAAATGAGGATTAACATACCAAGCCGTCAAATAAAGTTTCATCATTCGATCTTCACTCAATATTAATCTTGATCTTGACTGAAGATTGTTGGTGCTCTTCTTTATGGGATGATCCGATATTTGTGGCAGACGATTAACTGACCCACTTGATCCGACTGAAAGAGTCTGGTCGTATTCTCTGGGTCTAGACGGTCGAAGAAAACTGTCACTGTCCCTCAAATCAAAGGCTGTCTCTTTCCGTCCACTCTGCGCTGTCTCTTTCACTCGGACTCGGATCCATCTCTCTCTTTTTGATGCCAGATCTTTGTCACACACGCGCGTTAAGGTCGCATTATAAGACCATAAAAAAGAGCGACGCATTACTTTTATTTTTACGTCGTCAGTTGTATGTGGAGTATCTAATACATATATAGAGCTGCGGCTCTTTCGCTGCGACTCTCCTTTTTTTCGGCTGCTTTCTCGCATCATCATCATCATCATCATCACCATCCAGTCGTCGTCTCGTGATGAAGGCCATCAAAAATCTAATAAGCGTGAAATAATTGACATTTAAGCAAAGCGCACGCACATAGACAATGGACTTGGTTTTGGAGTTGAGTTGAGTGGAGTTGAGTTGGCCTGTAGACCACAGAACAAACCGCAGTCTGCCCCCCTGGCAGCCCCCTCCTCACCCCAAATACCTATAGCCCCCGATTTTGTAGGCCAAGTGACTGACTGAGAATCATGACAGATGACCGCACGTACATTTCACGTTTCCACGTTTCACGAGCGACGGAACCGCGACCAAGATACTTATACATTGTCCAGGAAAAAGATCGTTCTCCGTTTCTGGGTCATGAAGCAAAAAAGAAGGAAACAACAAATGTAAAATAATGAGTTGGAGTTTTATTCTTCGGCTGGGGAGATGCTCATTCGCATTCTTGGCACCACTGACGCTTTTTGGCACCTGTTTTTAGTTAGTAGTAAAAAGAAAAAAACAACGACGTGATGAGCATGCAAAATGGGCACCAGGAAGGTCAACTATTTAAAAATGTAAGCAGAGTGGAGGAAAGCGGGTTTCAAGTTGTAGATCATGCAGACGAAATGTGAATGATCTCCCTTCAAGTTGCTGTGCTGAAAAGTGCTTTCCATACCTCGCCATAGAGCTCATGAACTATACCATACCGAACTCATCAAATATTTGATGGCCTGAAGAAACGGCATCACACCCACTTATAGGCAAATCAATGTCCATAACTCCACCGTATATTTCTCTTTGCCTGTCCAACCAACACTTAACCCGTGCCTCCTTCTTTTTTGCAGTTAAACGGGAGCCTGGGCCATATATCCAATGTCCACAATTTAAATGGTGAGTGCAAAATAGAGTGTGAAATGCATTTATAAAAGGCATGGCATCCCCCTAAACTAAATTGCTTTCCGGCTCAGTTGGGTGTGGATATCGGAGGGGCTTGTTGGCCTGGAGTTTGGGGTTATGGGTTTGGGGTTTGGGCTGGTGGGGCAGGCTTTACCTATAAACCAAAATGAATGTCTGCAACTGGACCACCGCCCGCTGAGTTGAAAAATGGAAAAAGAGTGCAAAAGCAGGGGGCATAGGCTGCAAAAGGGAAGTAAATGCAAATAGATGCCTCGCTTTCATAGACAGATGGACTGCTGGTTAGCGTGGCCCCATGGAAAAATCGCATGCTGACTGCAACGTCATCGGGGGCTAAAAAGGGGATTGAAAAGGGAACTGGTCACGGCTTCGGAATGTGCCGACCTCATCATCATCATCCTATAAACATCATCACACCATCATCATCATCTCACAGTGTGATGACGTTGAAACACAACATTTTGTTTTCTCCGTTTAATAGGCGTCGCCCCTCTTTTTTGTTAGAGCTCCGATGACGGTGACGATGACGATGACAAGTACAATGTAGCAGCACTTTATGGGGACTGCAGGATTGGGGTCACCAATTTGAAGAGGGGCACTAATCGAGTGCCATTATAGGGGTGGTGCATATTTTGATTTAACTGCTAGGAAAGGCAAATGCATAATTTACGTGGAGTGACCCAGCTTACATTTTGATTACTTGAGTGGATGTATTTAAAAAATGGCCTAACAACCTATGGAACATCTGTATCCAAATTCATACACTGTTATTTTTTAGGTTACCATGACTTAAAAATAAATCCATATATTAAAGCCAGTGTCATACGGCCACAACAGTACACATGGGTAGTTTGTTTAGTTTTATGCTGATCATCTGATCAGAGGGCTTCCTAGGAACCCAGCAAATCCCAGCCCTGCGCCCAACCATTTCTCCTGCCATTACGCTGACCAAATATTGTCACAAGCTGTCGGCAGAATCCTCGTCGAGGGAGAGACATTGTGCAAAGCCAACTGTGCAATTATTTGCACAACTAATAATTCACTTTAGTGTCTCATTCAGGGCAAATATTGGAGGAGTGATGACAGGAATGCCGGCGGGGAGAGTGGGGAACTGAGGAACTGGGGTCCACAAGACATTTGCTATTTGCGATATGCGATTGTCATTAGCGGCGCAAGGAATGCCAGTGCAATCCCCGAAAACAGGGAAACCAACCCACAAGATTCGCATCTCGAGTGCCAGTCATGTTTGGCCTTTTGCAACTGGAAGCCCCGAAGTTCCCCGCGAAAATGTCAACAAAATGTTGTTAACCATAAGCAGCTTACTTACTAGTTTTGTTTTTTTTTCCCGTGTTCCTCCGCAGCTTTATTGCTGTGTGTTTTTGCGATTTTAATTTGGCTGCCATTAGGCAAACGGCCTTGAATCTAAACAGCCGATTGATTCCCACAATGAGTTGGGCAAATTGTTTGCATTGAATACGGGGTACGGCCTTTGTTTGGCTGGTCAGTCGGGCTAATTGCCGCCGAAGCGCTGAATATTTGGGTTTTCTGGCCAAAATAAGAGGAATCTCTTTGCCTTTGGTTCAGATAACACCCTAAATTAGCTCAACCCAGAGTCGTACTTAGAATCATTGCCTTCTTCTTCACTTTATTTAAGATCGTTTAAAGATCTTAAACTTAACCACCATCAGAAAATTATAACTTGCTGAAATGTGGAAATTGTGACAACTGAATGTGATCTGAAAATATTTGGTTGAAAAGTGCCGACAGTCTCCCTTCACAGTCGCCTTCAAAATTGTTGGCTGAAAGTCGCTCGGCCGGCGTCATTCACCTTCAAAATAAAATCATGTCGCGTTTTGTAAAGCGGAAAAACCTGTAATTAAGTGTCTCGCCGGCTTTTCGCTTTTCCCTGAGGCCCCCAAACCAAAATTCAGCCGACCCAGTGTGGACAATTTGTAATTGAAACTTTCATTTTCATTTCCATTTTCTCCCACTGTTCGGCTGACATGAAAAACTGGCGACGTCAGTTCCATTGGTTGAACAACTTGCGATGTTGCAAGTTGCTTATCATTTCGATTCGATACGATTCATTGACACGACAATGTCACAATTGCATGCACTCAGTACTAGAGGTAATTTCAATCGTGCTGCAGTTGGGCAACAGACAACAGGCGACAGTCAGTGCAAAAAGATGCGGCACGGCGGAGTTTTGGGCTTCATTTCAGAGTGATCATTTTATGAAATTCAGTATCAATTCTATCTTGCCATCTTGCTTTTTGACAGCTTTTTCTGTTTCCCGAGTTTCGAATGTTGCTGTCTCGCTCTTACCCAGAGTAATTTTGGGCGATACCTCGCTCTTTTCTCCCTTTCGATTTGATTGACTTCTCAAAGAGTTCATCTCTAAATACCAAATATACATTTTTTACTGTGTGAAATAAATAGTTTAAAGAAAAACAAGAAGGTAATATAAACTAATGTGCCTTGAAATCGAATCAAGTGACTTATTTTATTTTTAAGTGTACTTTATTATTATTGAACTTATTATCAACCCAAGATTGAACTAAATACGTGGCCCTGTTGGTAGTTCCCAGCTCTTTAAATATCTTCCCACGTTTCGATATCGAAGGCAATAATTGAACAGCATATTCCGTTCTCTATCGCCGTCCCTTTCCCTGCCCCCTACCCTCTGCCCTCTCACTCGCACCTCGTCTTAAGTAAGGCAAAAGCAAATTGGTCTGAAACCCGATGACATCCACGTCGCGTTGCTTCCGCCGTATTTTGTTGTCATTGTCGCCAGGGTCTCCGTGCCCCGTTGCCCCTCAAGTTGTACTGGCAACTGGTACTGGTAACTGGGTGCAGTGACTGAATCAGAAAGGGTTGGCTATGAGCTAATGAATGACATGCTATCCTAATGAATGACAAGCCTTGCTCTTGCTTTCGCCTTAGATGGTACACTGGAAAAGCAAAGGGGGTCGTGTTTAGTAGAGAATCAGTCAGAGATACTAACAACATTCGATTGCAAATCGGAAGGCTGCCAGGCAGGTCTCCCATATGTGTTCTATTTGAGAATGGATCTATTATTATTTGGCGGGATATATCCAGATAGGATATATAGCCACTCTGAATAAATATAATATTCAAAAAAAATGCCGTCCGTTTCTTAGTACTTTTTACTTTTTTAAAACTCATTTTCCGTTATAATCCGCATCTGTACTTTTTTAATAAACTGTGCCCTTTGTATATTTTTGACATCCTCATTTCTCGCTGTGTGTGCTTTTGCTACCTGAGCAAATCAATGGCTGGGCTTAAACAAATGATGAAATCCGATATTTGTCCTCGACGTTGCTTGCTTTTCCCATTGGACAGTTGTTGTTGCTGTTGCTGCCAGGGAAACTTGAGCTGCAACTAACGGTTTCCACCTGCATCCCATGCACTCGAAGAAAATAGTGGAAAAAAAAGATCGCACTGACAGTTGGCTATTACGTTTTGCAAATGCCAACTTAAACTTGTCAACGTCGAAAACGCAACGAAAATTAAGCACAATAAATAACGCATACGACGCATAAGCCAACGAACGTCGGCCAATTCAACTCGTTGGCGGCCAGCAAAAAGTTGGCCGTAAATGAACAAAAAATAATTAAAAATGCATTTTTCATTAAGGCATTAAAATGCACGGCCAGGGAGAAAGGGGAAAGAGGCGGCCATTCATTTATTTCATTTATCTTGGGGTTGCCCGAACTCGAACTGTGAATCGCGGACTGCGAACTGCAAACTGCAAACTGGACTGCGGCCCGCCAGTTCATTGATTACAATGCCGACATCGAGTTCCAGAGATGGAAAAAGTATTGGGGATGGCTGACCTTTGGGCCTTCTGTACCTACGGTACTTTTTCGTTTTTATCATAGGATAGGACCAATCAAATATTATGTAAACAAGTTTTTACTCGTACTTAAATATGGATATTATATGACCATGTGTATTATTGGGGATGGCTGACCTTTAGGCATTCTGTACCTGCGGTGAGGTATACGCATTTTTAGGTACTTCTCGCTTTTATCGTAACAAATATTATGTTTATAAGTCTTGACACATACTTGATTAGAAAAATCTTAATAATTTAAATAGTAGGTAGTATTGGCGATGGCTGACATTATGCATTCTGTTCCTACGGGGAGGTATGCAAATTAGGTACTTTTGCATCACTCATTAAATATGGTTCAGACGTGTATCATATATAGTTGTTATTGAAATTTGTAAATAATCTTCCTGTATTTTGTCGCCAGACATGTAATATATACATATAAACTAAGGGGATATATTTTTTCCGGATATATCTGATTACTCCCATCCGTGTTTTTGCGAGTCCATCCCTAGTTCGCTGGTGAGATGCTCTGGGAGTTGCGTTTATGTCATTTTGAAATTATCATTAATGCCTCGAGGGGCTGGGGTCTTTTTGTGGGCGGCGGGTCGAACAGGCGGGTGGAGGTAGATATGACCACTTCATTTTGCAAACAAACGGCGGCAACAACAATTTGTGCGGTGTGCAGGTCGGAAAAGTGGAAAAGGGGAGAAGGGGAGAGGGGGAGAGGCTTGTGGCGCGTGACGGTCATTGAAACAATGCGCGGAAAAACGCGTGTAATTAAAACAATAAAAAGCGGCAGCGACAAACTGAAGCAGCGGCAACAACTACCACAATGCCCAGCGGCCAGAACAACAACAAAATGTTCAGTTAAGTTTTAATTTTCACAAGTGTGAAAAATACTATTGAAAAGGCCGCGCACATTTGCGAAATACAAAGCGCGCCTCTGCCAACGAGCCACTTCCGCCCAACAACAACCGCAGCGTAAGTAAAAACAACAACTAAAATAAAGAACAACAACAATAGCAACAACACCTGAAGCGGCAAACAAGAACAACTCTTAAAAAAAAGCTGGGAATGAAAAGAATTTTTCGTTTTTTTTTTACTCCCACGGACTGTG